TCGGTCCTCTTGGCACGGAAACGGGTGGTGGAGTGGGCTCAACGAGGGCCGACTCCCGTCGAAGAAGCGGGAACAGAGCGGCAGGAGGAAGATGTCTTTTTTTTCTCATCTGTTGTTGACAGCAGGGAATGGAGTCTACCGGTGGCTGTGTATGATTCCCCCGTCAACTCGGAACTCGTGGCCGTCATCAAACATTTTTCAAAGGTTACACAGCCTCGAGAGTCATATCGTTCAACCTCGACGAGAGAATTCCCTTGGTCCGCGAGTCTATTGTCTTGCTTCCCGGCGTCGTACAACCAAGAAGTACGTCCGCCCAGGTGCGACGTGAGGCAGAAAAGAAGAATCTCGTTCGTGGTCCCACGACATGCTGCCATGGGAACCGACAGCTACCCTGATGGTCATGACCGTTGCAGAGAGACAATACGCCAGAAAGAGAGAGAGAAAGAAAAAAAAGAGGTTGGTATGGGATACGGCCGACATGCCATTGATGAGATTCGTTGTTCGTCCTGCATGTCCCGATACAGGGTTTGGCAGGTATCCGCTTTCCGTCTACACTGCAGTGACAACCCGTCGTATTTGACTGCTACACAGCAATACAGGAGGACATCCTCACAAGTTCGCGTTGGTCAATACTCGAATATGACATATCTTTCATGGCGGGCGGCGGTCAAGCTTCAGGATGGCCGGCAACAGGGTGCCCCCCCCCCCCCCCACCCAAGATCCGGTCACGTTGGACAACACATGAGACCGTTTAGGGAGGGAGTCGTTGACAGAAGAGACAGGAATGGTCACACGGAAGCAACGACATGTCACGGATTGTGGTCTTGAATGGGCCCCCCAAAAACAGAGTCTACATGTGTAGGTGAGATACCTTGGAATTGTTCATTTCCTCTCCACTACGTACGGTACGGTATTTGGTTTCCATCCCGCCCCGCGCTTCTCTGCGTCAAGATCGGCGCCCCACAGGTTTGTAGGTCTGTATGTGTGCTGTTCGTCCTTTTGCGCCCTGTCTTGTCTCTCATGTGTGTGTGTGTGTGTGTGTGTGTGTGTGTCTTATCTCAGTGACCTTGAGACAATCCTTTCCCACCAGCGTATAATCCTGTCTCTTGATCTTCTGACCTCGTCAAGAGAAAGGGTTTTCCTTCTCTCAAACCACCACCGCCGCCTACCCCCAACATAAGGAAATGACCTCTCATGACTCTGAGATGACCTGCTTTTGTCTCTCCCGTTGTTTCTCATCCAATTCTCAATTTTCGCCTCTCGATCAAAACAGGAGAAAAACTCCCCGAGACACGCGAAGGAACCTCTCCGAATGTGCCGCGTACAGTGTATGCTCAGAAGAAAAGGAAATTATAGAAGAAAAGAAAAAGGTGGCTGGCTTGATAGGGAATAAAAAACCTGAAACTCTAGGTTGTAGCAGGGGGAAATAGGTATCGCTCGCCTCGAGAAAGGAAAGAAGAAGAAGAGTACGAATGAACGCCATGTCAACGCCTAAGTCACCAACTGTGTTATGCAAAAAAAAAAAAAAAAAAAAAAAAGGTATCAGAGCCTCCCGCGGAAATCCGCAGAGCCAGAGAAAGAAAAAGGTAACAAAACGGAAAAAAGGGCTTTCCCTGCTAGTATGTCTGCCACATCGCGCGTTACAGCATTTTCGCTTCTGCCCCTAGGCCGGGTACGGTATACGATGTCACGGACAGACGGACGGAACGCGCGGGTCTCTACCGCACCACCTTATCGATCTTGACGAGCAGCTTACCACCTTCAATCGGCCTGTTCTTGGTGTCCATGAGCTTGATGAAGCGATAACCGGGACGTAGACGGTCGAGGCGGATACATGCCCACGAGAGAAGCTCGTCGCCACCGAAGAGTGGATCATCCTCAATCTTGAATCTGCGCGGTTCAGACACAAGTCAGTAAAAACCATCCTCATTTATTTTTTGGTCATGGCTATTCGCAGGATGCAGAGAAGCGGGAGAAAAGAAGAACAACGTTGCGGTGTGCGGCGGTCCGGGCTGTCAACGCGGCGGCCCGCGTGGCAGGTGAGTATTGACGGATCAACGGTTCGTGGACGGGAAGGGGACGGTGACACGGCATGGAAGGGGGCACAACTCGACGACCGACTTCGTTCCACGAGCGTTCCCGTCTCGTGCCTATGACGCAGAGCGGCAACGGGTCCCGGCATGGCATCCGAGGATGAATCAGGCCATTCCCGGGGGTCGGGGAGCCGTCACCACTTCGGACAACGTTGCACCGCCGGAGCTGTTCTGGTCTTACAGGTCGGACACGCCGGCGCGCGGGAGGGTAGGCGCGGAGCCGCGCACATCTTTCTCGCCGTCTTCTCGAGTCATATTCTCAAAAGATCGTCAAGGCCCGTAGGCCCAGACATGCCGCTGCCGGAGGAAGAAAGCAAAAAATAAAGGAAACCGTGACTTTTCTTACCTGAGGAAACTCAACTCCTCCACCACCCTCGAGATCTTGGGGAACTTGAGCCGTGCTCCATTCTCCCACTCGGGGTGGTCAGTCTTTCTCGACCCCGTCTTGAGCTTGAAGTCATCTTCGTCCGCAGCCTTTCCGTTCTGCGCTCCAATCTCGACGTGAAGCTCGCACTTGACAAATGGCCGGAGGTGCTTGCCGCGGCTGCTGTCGCTGGCAGAATCGTCGTCGACAAAGATGTGCTGGCCGGCGATGATGGTGACGGTGAGCTCCAGGTCACCATGCGGCGCGGCGTCGACCTCTGTCAGCGTGTCCTTGTCAGTGCTGCGGTATCCAATAGGCTTGAGGACCCATCCCAGCTCGTCCGCGAACATGCCCTCGTTGAGCATCATTCCTTCGTCAAGATATTGCCAGTTCAGAGCAACCATTTGCACGCCCTTGCGCCAGAAGAGACTGGGGTCCGGGTTGGAGCTGTCGACACGCGAGCCGTTGGGGAATGCCCGCATGAAGAAGTTTTTATTGTGCGTGAACATCTCGCGGGCCTTGGTCGTGTGCAGTTCTAGGATCCTGTTCTCACTTATCGAAAAGATATGACTCGGCTTCTTAGCCGCCGGTGTCTCAAAGCTCTTAAAGTGCTCGCTATGAGTGTAGATGGCCAGACTGCTGAGTGCCTGGCAAATGGCCACCTTTGTGCTCTTGGCCGGCTCGTTTCCACTATGGACCTTGGCCGGGGCATCGAGCTTGGGTGTCATGGGCGGTTTTGGTGTCTCTTGCTTAGGTGCCTCCTTGTTGCGTTCATCGTCGGAACCCGAAGCGTCCTCGTCGTTGGCAAATACTTGAGAGAGGGCTGTCGTGCTGGGAGGCACCTCAATCTTATTAGGCGCCTTCTTAACCTTGACCAGGATCTTGCGCTTGAGCTCCTCGAGCTTGGGGAGGCGGAACCGGGGATCAATGCCCTCCCAAGACTTATCGATCAACATGCCTTCCCACTCCTCCTTCATGATCCTGACCATGACCTCCTGCTGCTCCTTGTCGGCATGGACCTCAAGACTGACAATCAAGGGCAATTCGTTCGTCTCGAAGGCGGACTCGCGAACGGCCTTGCAGACCTCTCTGAAGCCACAAGGAGTTGTCAAAGTCCAGCCATGTGTGACAATGGGCTCATCCTTGGGATACGGCAGGCGATTCTTCATTGAGGGGGTCGGCGATGAGGGCCGTAGGGTTTTGCCGAGGGAGTCGGTGGACTCGCTCGGTCCCAGTAGAGTGGCACTATCGCGAGGATTCAGAGATTTGCTGGCAGCGCTGGTGTTTCTGTTGTGGCCATTGCCGTTCGTGCTGCGTTCGATCAGGAGATCTTCCACCGTCTCCTTGACGCTTGCAGCCACGTTGGGAAGGGAGGAGCCAGACAGATTCCTCGAGTGATCAGGTTTGGGGGAGCGGCTGCCCTCTTGTGTTGTGATGGGTGTGTCTCCGTTCCAGATATCGATTTCGATACACCGACATCCACGGCGAAGGACCTGCAGTTCATGTGTTAGAAGTTATGTTTCTTTGCTGAGCGAATGCGAGCATAGGACAACATACAGTTTTGTAAGCCTCGGGCGAACTCCTGGAGGCAAGCTGGTTGCCCTCTAAGTATGTGTTGTGGCTGCTGCTGATGAAGTAGTTCGTAATGGGCCGACTCAAGTCCTTGTCCTCCTCCTTTATTGGGCGGGTGGCATCCCAGCCGTAGTTTTTCCACCACAATTCGAGGAACTCGCCATAGTTGTATCGTTGCTGACCCTCAGGCAATACAGCCTCGACATCGGTCTCGCCCTGAGTATTCTCGAGGAATACGAGTAGTTGGTCGCGGGTCACAAAAGGTTCGCGGGATAGTGAAGAGCGGCGGGAGCGTAGGTCGTTGAATATCTTCTCGAAACGTTCGCGAATGGCCTGGCTGAGCAGGATCTCATCGGGACTGGGCGAAACTACTGCCTCCTTGGGGTCCGATGCGGCCGATGATGAGGACGAAGGGTCCGTAGTGCCGTCGACGTTTGTGATATTGATGAGGGGCATCGGCCGGGGAGCGGGTGGGAAGTGGAAGCCGTCTCGTGTAGGCGCCAGGATCGTGGTGAGGCCGACCATCTTCTTGAGGGTGTTGGCGGAGGTCTTGTTGGAGGAGGACCAAAGCGGCATCGTGAGGGTTCGTTTCTTTTGTGTCTTTTCGTTGCTCGGGGCGGTCTTGCGGCGCCAGAACTGTCAAGATGTGTAAGTCTATGTGCGATGATTGACCACGAGCTCGAGGCCAGTGTCAAAGGCTTTGGGAAAGTGCAGGAGAGGCATCATATGCGGGCGTTGCCAATGCCGGAGCCTTGCATTGAGCGCACAACCCCTACGGGATATGGTAAGAGACGTACAGAGAGACACATGGCGGGCGAGCTGCAGCGGCTTGATAGCCTGCCTCCGGATCAAGTCCTCTTTTCTTTCCTCTATATGTGTGTGTTGGTTGGCCAAATTGATCGTGCGTATGGCTGACGGATTGTCGTCGCGGGAGGGAGGTAATTCTTTGCTCAGTCAAGCCTACTCTGGTTCTAGGGGTCAGAGGGGTACGGCTTCGGAGAGCGTATGGGTATGATCATTAGCCCATTGGAGGGACAGGATAACAAATGGTAACGGAGACGAAGGAACGGAGTTGTAAGAATACGAGTTGTCGTTGAACGAGAGTTTAGGATTATTTTCGAGAATTCGAGGAAATTCGAGGAACGAAGGCATTCGAGAGACAGTAAAAGGGTAATTTCAACGAGAGTGGGAAGCGTGGATATGCATGTCAGCATAGCTGAGGACATGGGTGGGCAGGGAAGTGCCTACCTTACTGTGGTGTAAAGTGTGATCCAGCGTGATGGGGTTCCCGTTCCGTAGCACTTGGAGCCCTTTGGAGAGCACTTGCAGGGCACTTGGAGGGGGGACAGCCTCGTCTGATGGGTGTGCTGAACGATGCAAGTAGCCAATGGGAAGGGGCCAGCACTGCCCCCGATGGTTTGGATCCCTGCTGTAGGTGGTCCCGAGGGCCCTGTCGATGGTGCCCTCTAGCGTGGTGTTCCTTACCTCTACTGCCTGTTGAGATGGAAACTGGAGTGAGACTCTTCTCAATCTCTACCAGAATTGAGACATTGAGGGACGGCCTACTCGGGATCCACGTCCTTGGTTCTCGAGCTGGCCTCTGCATCTCGACTTGTTTCGTTTTGTTGTTGATCACGTCGGAGCCCGCGTCTCTTCTCCATTCTCCCTCGACTCAGAAATGTCGGCTATTGGACGAGAGTGACGCGTACCGCATAGTTTCTGTCATAACTGTCTGTTTTGAGTATCTGATATGCATGATGATTGTCAGACTGAAGAGTGCCAGGCCCGAAGCACATTTCCCGACGTTCATGATCATCTTCGAATACTGAAAAAAAAAAAAAAAACCTAGCAAAAGTAAGTGGTGATGCCTTGTTTTCAGAGGGGCGGAGTCTGCGCGTATGTGTGTGACTCTCTCTGGTCTTTTCCCTGCATCGCGAAGCGGAGCGTCACACTGAATCCATCTGCAGATGGCTAGTCTTGGCCCCCAATCGCAGTCTGCCCTGTCTGTCTTACGGGGTGCCTCTTTCGGAACCATTGGACGTGAGCCTCGATTTACCACTGACAGATTGGTGTCGCTTCGTAGGGCACACTGAGAGGCTCAATGCCCGACGTACTTTGGCTACTACATAGAAGAGTGCTCAGCCCATTTTCGCCTGCCACAGGATGCAGACTACAGCAGCACCTTAGCATACAACTCACCGTGCATCGTTTGCTGTGCTGCGCTATGCTGTCCACGCAAGATCGGAAACTTTCATGCTATACCTACTGTCACCGGGCCCGGCAAAACGGCAGTACGGCTGATGCTTCGAGACAGTTGTCGCCTACTAGCTAGCCTTGCCCCTATTCAATATTGACGTCTCGCAGTCCCCCGTTCGAGATGCGCTAAACATAGCATCCGTACGGATACAGCGGGTGGAAACCATCAGTGTACGGATAGGCCCCAGGCAAGCTAGGGTATTTCGTACGAATACCTTATGTCGTAATTAGTGGAGGCGTTGCCGCTTCGTATGGAGGGAGGGATGATCCCCATACAAAGTGATATCATGGGCATGCTAAGGTCGAGGGAATAGCTCTCTAGGCAGCCATTAAACACGGTGACACGCCAAAAAAAAAATTGTGGAATGAGCTGAACAAGAGTGACACAGTATGTGACAGAGTCTCCAGGGCTCAGAAGTCTGGGAACCCAAGCATTCTCAAGTGGTTTCCACTTGGCCTGACAGAGCCTTGGGGCGGTTTTCTTCCGTCGAGCCGTTGTTATGTTCCACTTCAGTGCATAAGTCCAGCTGGGAGGGGCGTCAAGTCTGTCACCCGCACGCCAAGGAATGAGGGAGCGTAGTGGCATGACGGGGCCTTTGTCGGTGCTCCGAGTTTGTCTGCTTGCTGTTGCTGCTGCTGGCCACCAAGCCACGCATTTCCCACCGGCGCCTATGCATCTCTTTTGCTCGGCTGCCGCTGCTGCGCCTCCCGGAAACCACCGTCCTTTCAGTCGCCACACGGCATCGGGGCACTCGGGGCATAAGTGGGGGACGAGCACCCAAAAGTCGGCTTCCCCCACACTGCAGCCGACTCTCGAGACCTGAGTACGCGGACCACCACCACCTCTGCGCACCCGACCCGGCGTTTCTAAACATTGACTCCGGTAATGAACTATCTCAATGAGATTCCTCTCAACTCGACTCAGCCCAGCCTCCAGAGAAGAACATACCTGTCAGCTGCGGAACCGCCGACGAACAGCTCTCGGACCCTGTCGACTGCACGGAGCTCGACATCGGATCTTCTCTGACGTAATCGCAAGCTGTCTTCAGTCTACCTCCGTCGCCGCCGCCGCGCCACGAGCGAACTTCTCAACTTTGCCTTGCGCACATTACCCCTCAGCTTCAAGCCAGCAATCGCCCAATATTGCAGTCATGCCTTCTAAGCCCAATTCCCAGCGTGATAGCGAGTCCGAGGTTAGATCTTGGGGGTTTCCTCATGTCTTCACTTGGACCGACGGACCGTACGTGATGCCCACTGCCTTTTTGCCTTTCCTTCTGGCCTGGCCCTAAGTGCAAGCCAAGTATGCACGAACTGACGATCAAAGCTCAGAAACGCGCACTACTCCCCGCATTCGCATCGGGGTCTGACGACCCATCTGATCCTGCGTGGGAACCTTACCATCACTTATCCCAAGGACAAGAATCCCGACAAGGTTACTTATGGCGTCGGCGATCGTATCGACGTGGACGCCGGCCGCGTGCATGAAGTATGGATTGGCGATGAGGGTTGTACCTATGTCATTGGAGAATGAGGCGGAAATCTTTGGTGACCGTTTCTTGCTTCTGCAATGTTGCTAGATAATGGCTGTTCTGCGAATTCAACGTGGTGCGTTATAGTCAAACACGACAAGCTCTTCCCTGGCATGCAGAGTCTAAGCAGGCTCACATCCCTCCCCCATTCTCTATTGTTGGAGGGAAAGAGATGGGCCGACGAGGCCGTTGAACTTGTGGTGGGATAGATGGAGCTTCCCACCAAAGTCCAGATACCCAAGTATCGACATCAAACGTAAACTTGGCCGATTTGACTTTGAAAAACCCCTCAGATGAGATTCATGCCCGACTTGGACCTCCGAACACCCGGTCAGAGCTTTGGTCCCCTTATTTGACGGTCTGGTGCCCTAAGGGACGCCTTCATAGATCTTCTTTTTGGTAATGAAGCAGCAAGGTGCCCTTGGCGTAATAGATCTCGACTATATCTGCGATGGTCAGCCTTCGTTGTTCAACAGTCAAGTCTGGAAGAAAATGCGTCCTCAAGCGTATACAATGCGCTCCCCAGCCGAATTGCCCGAACCCCATCGAACAGGACCAGGAGGCCAGCTCCGTGAAAGAGCTAACCTCAACCAGCAGTGGGACTGGTGCTTGTGTTTGGGACCAGGGCAGAATAATAGAATTTGTGCTCTCGCCGTGAGGGAAACGACTTTGAAACATGGAGAAATCCTTTGCCCGTGCGCCATGGCCTTGAGGACCGCCCCGACTCGTTCAGGAGTATGGCGATCAAAACGTTCCGGAAGGCCATGGAACCTGCCCAACCACCTTGGCCACGAGGCAGCTTCGTCTGTTCAATGCAACAGCTGACTCGGGTTCTTGGTAGGTATATCTGCATGCTTGTAAAAATGGTTCATACTGTCGAGCTTCAGTATCGGCGTCCTCAATGCGTCCTCCGAAAGAGGCCATGATTTCTGAAGCAAGATACGTGACCAGGAGGCTCGGCAATAATACTATCGATTACACGCCGCTTGAGAACACTTGGCTGGTGTCGATGGAAGCGTGCTTGTTCTTTGCTAAGTCTCCCGCTTCACTGATAGATGACAAGCTCAAACCAATCGAGGCTATCTCGTAAGTGTGTTCCCGCTTGGATAGTAGGCGAGCGATCAAAGCTCTGCAGCCCAGCAGTCCGCATCTTCAGGCTTTCTGCGAGCGCTTGGCTGCTCGAAATTCGTCCGTCTACCTTCATCTCATGGTCTCCTTCCCGGCGGTTGGCAGCAGTGTTTGCGACAGTAACTGTCTGGCTCCAGGCATGGGTTTGGACGATGGCTCCTAGTCCCAGAGCCCCCCCAAAAGCTTCGAATCATTACCAACCTCCTGCATGGCTTGACTCGAGACCAGACGACCGTGGTGTATTAGTCTGCGAGGTCTTGCTTGAATTCGCTCACTCGCTGGCGGAAGGGGGGAGAACCATGGAAAGGTCCAATCCTTTGGTCATGTCTGGGTCGTGAAGGAGTGCGTGCGATGAGTCGCGTACTCTGTGACGTGGACCACGCTTGTGCAAGTTTCGCATGAAGTTGAGTTTGGTAAAATAGCCATGCTTTCTTTTTTCCCGAGTATCCGACATATGTCGTGCGTAGGTCAACTTTGAGGTGCCTACTTCGTAAATCAATCTCTTGGAGGGGATAAAGAGGCGCGGGGATCAATCTCGCCCAAACAGCGACGGCTCGCGGCGCGGGCATTTTTCAGGTTGCATGATCATCGGGCCTTATTTTATGGAGCTTGCCGTGCCGACATCTGCAGTCTGTTCCGAAGCTGCTCCGAAGAGGAACACACTCCGTCGGTGCTGCTTGATCATCATAGTGGCTCCGACTCCTTGTGATTCGACAGGCAACAATCGAGTGTTTGAAGAAACTGCATTAGTTGGGTCCAACGGGGAGGAGTCCCTCGCGTGAGTGGGCAGTATCAGACGGTGAATGGCATTTGACCATGTACTCCGTGAGCTCGTCCACACGAGAACTCATTCATACATAACATCCTCCACCAGAAGGAAAAATAGACAGTCCAGAGACAAGGATGTTGCCGATAAACGTCGTCGGGAAGAATCCGTAGTCCAATCTAGAAGTCTCAGTGGTGCTGCGGGCAGGTGGAGTTCGGGTCGATAGCGGACGTGATAAGTTTGAACGGCGGAAACACCGCCCATCGCTTAAGCCAGGTGAGCTGGCGAGGTAGTCAATACTTTGCTGGTGAGCATCGATCGCTCCCTCGCGAACTGGTATGGTCCTTGGAGTGTAAGAGATCCTAGGGAACACCCGTCTGCTGCTTCGGCCGAACGAGAAAGAATTGGTGGCGTGTCTCGGGGAGTATGTGCTGTTGACGTTTGATACCAAATCAACAACGAGTCGAGCGGCACAATTACCGGCCCACGCTGGTACGGACGATGGACTGCGAGCGGGGGAGTTGCAGTGCATAGCAGCAACGTGTGT